ATCCCTGCCGCCCCTGCAAATGGGCTGCCCCAAGCACGTGCTTGCTTTGCTGGTGCCTAGAGCCGCCCCTGCTTACATTGGGGTCATTCTTTTCCAAATCTCGTGCATTTTTATAGTCTTGCTCGTGAACAGCATAATTATGCATGTAGCAATCATGTCACCTTTGCAATCTATGGAAGATTGGACTAGAAATTCACTAGCAGCCATTTTCCTTTCTTTTTGTTCACCCTCAATCAAATCCAAGTTTTTCTTACAACAATGCCAGCCTCGCTCAGCTATCACTGAATCTTTCAGCTGGAGTGTGTGACATTTTTGTGGCTTAAAAAACCACATAAAATAAAATAAAAATGGCACTTCAGACACATTGTCTGAAAAGGCTTTGCTGAAACAACAGCTACCTTGCTGAGCATTGTGTGCTAACATAACAATATCAGACTCTGAGTGGCTCTACACATTAGAGCTTAATATACCTGCTACTCTGAGTATGGTGATAGCTGAGAGTCCATATGGCCTTGATCCCAAATGCACTTAGTTATGAGACTGCAGGGGCAGGTTTTCTTTTACTCATTGATTTAAAGATGTTTCAGCAGGTGAGCAGCCAACAAACATAGGAATGACTCCCACCCATGTTGAGGTCAATGACAAAATTCCCATTGACTTCAGCATGGGAGTATAATAGAGCTTATAAAGAATAAAAAGTTATTAGGAGGACAGAGCCACTGACATTCTTTGGCAGTTTCCGTAGACAGAAAGTTAGATCAGACACATCTCTGGAAGACTGAATAAAGCTTACTGTAACAGCCACTACGTTGGACCCCCCTGGGGAATTCTCTGGAATCCTGGCAATGTAATAGTCAGATGAGAACTTTGGGACGTTGTCATTGGTGTCCAAGAGACGTATCACTATATCCGCCGTTGAGCTAAATTTCTCAGGAGTGTTCACCTCTATGGCAAGAAGCTAAGAAGATAAAATAGTGAATTCTACTATTATTATTGCAAGTATTTGGGAGGCATCTATCACTATGCCTAGGTGCATTTTATCCCAGTTAGAATGGAAACCAACACCACAAGAAGGAAAGCATGCTTTGTGTAACTGGGCAAATCATGCAAAAATCAAACTCATTTTTTAAATTGATACACATTTTAAAATAAACTTCAGCCATGTCCATGCCCACTTTGTGTTTGCTTTCCTTGAAAGTCTGAGCAATCCATTTGAATTTTTGTGGGAAGGGAATTTCAAATTTGTCTCTGCAATAATGTGCAGAAACCAAATTTTAAATCTGTATGTGTCATTGTTTACAGTAGAAGTGCTTGCCTGACTGTCTGACTAATCACAGTTTCCAGCATAGCTCAGAGGGTGCATATTGAAAATCAAATATCTGCAGAGAACTATTCCAGATTTTTTTAAAAACACCTCAAATATTTCAAATAATTCAAACATTGAATTAGCTTGAATGATGGATAAAATGATGTATCTGCTGGTGAACATTTTGCAGACACAGAGGCTAAATTCATCAGATTATTTGTACCACTCCAGTGTTCTGCAGCTGTTCACAGAAGGTGACTTAACTTCCTTGGATGGACTCAGGATGGGAGACAACAGCTACTAGATAAAATATCAGAGCCTGCAGAACCTGGTGTCATTGAAAAGCCTAGAACAAGAAATGCATTTTACATCTCGCCATAAACACAGCCAGGCTGGGACTCATGTATTTAAAAGCAAGATCAAATTCCAGAGGTTCCACTAATGAGAACTCCTAGCCCAAATTCCCTTGAGCTTCAACCTCTCTGAATCATACCTTCTGAGTGTAGGTATCCTGGTGAAGCTTAGGGGAAGAGACAGACTTTGTGACTACTGGGCCTGAGCAATTAGGACTTTATTGAATTTCATGTTGAAATGAACTACTGCACCAGGGCAGCTAGACAGAGCACTAGTCAGTGCGATATGTTATTATTCCGCCCTCTGAAGAGGCAAGCAGCTGCATGCTGCACCTGATGGAGCTGCTAAGTGGCCTTCTAGATTAACCATTGTAAATTTAAATTGTAACAGTCCAGTTTGGAGGTGTCAAATGCCTGAGATACAATGGGCTCCAGGCCTAGAGAAGTGGGCTCATTTGAAAACAAAAGATGTTTCTGGCCACTGTGCTGCTAACTGGGTATCCAGGAGAACTGAGGAATCTAGCAAAAGGGTGAATCACTGTGATAACTGGAGGGCAGAAGTTCTCCACTGAGCCATTGTCTTTGTCAATTCCTCAGAATGTGTTCTGGTCAAATAATTCTAGATCACTCCTTGGGTGTCATGCTTTCCACCTACATCCTGGAGAATGGACCTGGCATGCTGCTGTATACACTAAGGGCAGACTAATGTTTCATTGATTTCTATGGTATGCTAATGGGCAACAGTAAACTAGCAGGGAAGGAGTTAATCACTGATTAGGGAAGGTATGACAGTTTTGATGAACTGTTGGGGATAGGCATTAGAACAGAAACCAGCCCAAATCTTGTCCAAAATGTTAACTGAAAGAACTCACTCTGGCAGTCGGGGTAGCAAGTGGCTTGAACTTGTCAAGTATACAAGACAGCTAGTGAATTGTTTGAAAAAAAAATTGGCATATTTCAAACCTGGATATCTGATTTTCCCACCACCCTCCTTTCCCAATAGGGAATTTAGAAACAGGCTTTGTATTTTTAGCAAAATCTGTGCAGTTCATTTTAAAACTCTTGTGCAAATCATTTTATCCAAACAAAGTGAGAGAGCTCATAAGGAATAAAAAAATCCTCTTCACTTGTAATTACAACTTTCGGTGATCATTGCAATAGCATTCAGCTTTCAGTGTTCATGAGCTGGTTGGTTCAATATAGAATTCAAGGTATTCCTGAGCTGTGTGATTTCTTTAGTGGTCTTATAGTAACTTACCATGAATAAATCTGCACTACTTATAACTGATTTGGGCAATGCTTTATAATTGGTCATGAAGCTTCCATCTGACTACAATAATAATATGTTGTATTTCTAGAGCACCTTAAATCTAAGAAGCACCAGGTGCTTTACAAACAAACATGACAAATGGTGGAACTGAGACACAGCAGTGAAGTGACTTGCTGAGGTCACATGGCAAATCCTGGGCATAGAACCCAGGAAATCTGACTCCCACACCACTCCCTCTAATCATTACAGAAACTGCCTCTTTGTATACAAAACATGCAGAGCCCATTAGTACCGAACTATAACTTGGAAAAAATATTTTACGAGTAACAAGGTGCTGAAGGCAATGAGCTGCAATAGAAAAGTAATTACCCATCAGCTGGGGTCTTCCACCAGTTCCAGCAATAACACTAAAGCAAGACCATGTGCCACATGGCCTAAGTCTGAGTAGGTGAAATCCTGGATTCACTAAAATCAGTGGGGCCAGGATTGCATCCAATGAGCTTATTGGCATAAGTGAAATAGTCACCCTGATGTGCATAGTCCACAGTGCTTCAGAAACATCACAAAATGAAATTTCTATACAAATGTAACAGCTAGAACTCCTTGCATTCACTGGGCCAAAGATAGACTACGGTCCTCAGTTACACTCATTAAACACCACAGCAGTAATGACCTGAGGGAAGAATTTGACTTGGTGAGCTTCGTTTACAGGGCTATAACAGCATTAGCATTCAGTCACACGTCCCCAGTCGAAACCAGAAGTCAAAAACCCTCACGTATATGAACCTTTTAATTGGAGCAGGCAAGGAACATACTATACCTTAAAGGTTAACAACTGGAACTTCTCATAATCTATGGCAGCAGAGTTCTCCACTATTATGGTAACCTGAGCCTCATTCAGCACCGTTTGGGGAACAACTCGGAAAATGCCACCGGGTCCAACTAGCCGGAGGTTGAATTTAGCATTGGCCCCCTGGGAACAAAGCATAGGTATGAAAGTAAAAGCAGTACAAAGTGATGTTGCTTTGCTTTCAGCAGCAAGGCTGCATTTACTGTTGCATGGCATAGGCTCCATTTTTATTCAGTATGTGTATAATTAGAATGTGTGTCTGACTGCTTAGAACCTTCTGTTCTCCATCTCCTGGGTAAGAGAGTGCTAAGAGGCTTACTAAAGTAATCGCTGCAGCTCTGGTCACAGGGCACACGTGGCTTTTTTATTTAAAAAAAAAAAGATTAATTATTCCTCCAATTACAATGGAAAAACACTACACTAGGGCTGGCTAGGTGGGCAATTCATGTGAGAAAGAGGCTTTGACTAAGCTTCAAGGCTTGTGTCCCTTAAGCTGGTTGTGTTCCAAGGAACCAGGAGCACATAGATTGGTGATTCTAGTAAGGTTTATCCCTTCCATCTTCCTGACCAGGATTTTATAACAACCAAAGAAGCAAGGGTCTCCAGAGAATCCATCCTGTGCTTTGCAGTGTGATTGATGCATTGCTGGACAGGACTTAGTGAGTTTAGTCAGTACTGTAGGTATGTGTATATACAGCAATGAAACTTTTTATGTGCTGCACTGCTTTGTCTCATTGTTTTTGGTTTAGGAAGCTCCCTCTAACCTGCAGAGAACAGGTGACTGGAGGTAAAGGATGACCCATTGGTGGAACAGTGGAAAACAAGTGAAATCACTAAACAATAGAAATATATAAAAGGCATCAACCTGGGGCATTCTGCCATGCACTGTGATAAAGGATCAAGCTATTGGACACCAGAACAATTCTGTCAAGTTTTATCTGAACACGGCAGGGGAATGGCAAAAAAAGGAAGGTTCATACAGATAGCCGTTTTAGCCATTAATCTGGCAGACATTTATGCGTTCCTATAGAGGATGGGGCAAGATGAGCTGAATGTGATTTATTAACTAATAGCAGGTACCAATCTCTCAACAGCTGTGATTCCCAACTGTCGCCACCAGCCACAATCACTGATTGGCGGATGCTGATGTCCCTCCAGCAGGGCCGGCTCCAGGCACCAGCTTAACAAGCAGGTGCTTGGAGCGGCCAAGGGAGAGGGGCGGCACCTGCGGCAATTCGGGGGCGGCAAGTCCCTCACTCCCTCTAGGAGCGAAGGACCTGCCGCTGAACTGCTGCCGCCGATCGCGGCTTTTTTTATTTTTATTTTTATTTTTATTTTTTTTTGCTTGGGGCGGCAGAAATGCTGGAGCCGGCCCTGCCCTCCAGGATGCAGTACTTCTAGTAGTGGTGATGTAGAAACAGGACAGCCTCGACTTGCTGATGTACACATAGGTGGACTAAGCCTGGGCAGTCACTGCTTCAGTACTTGCCCATCTCAAAAGGGAAAAAAGCCAATGTTAATCCCCAAAACAAATCTGAATATTTTCAGGTTCAAGCTCAGCGGCTTATGTTGCACTGGAATCCAAACTCCCACAATTAAAGGGTAACCCATTGGCTCCTTTTTTCCTGCAGTGGAGAGTGGAGTGACACATACAAATACCAGCTGGACATGACTGATGTGCATGGAATGAGTAAGAGCAGTGGCAATGTGGAATGCTATCTTCCCAGCCAGGCAAAGATCCCCTATGCATGGGACTCCACAGGTTTTCGCGGGACCATGCTGTGTTGGAGATGGCTGCTCTGCATAGTTTGCTTCCTCCCAAAACTGAGTGACTTTCTGTCAGGAAATTTAGCAGAACCCACCTCTGGTCAGAGCAACCCATGTTCCATGAGCCCAGTTGGACAATCACAGAGCACAGGAATGTCAGGAGAGCCAGTGGAAGCATGGCTGCTGTCTTTCCTTATAGTGAGAAGAGGCGTGGAGCGTAGAGCAGATGGGCTTCCACTCCATACTCCTCAGGCTTTGCAGAAATTAGAGGCTGTACCTCCAGCTCCATCCCACGCCACCACTAAGCATACATTGTTTACTTTACATTTTGCCTTGAATGAGTGTGTGTGCAGAAGGGGAATAATTTGGCTTTAGGCCTTTAAAAGAAAAAAACCATTGTGTGACACTGTGCAGCAGTAAACATGTTCAGAAATGTATTCGATATAGGTACAAATGCTTTCTGTATATTTTATAGTCTGGTTGCAACCTATGTGACTTTTTTTTTTTAAACTCCAAGTAGAGAAAAAGCCAGCATAGCAGTTTTTCAGTTTGCTTTCTTCTGTTGCTGCAGCAGCAGCAACAATGACAGGACTGACTGGGCACTCATACGTAAGTAGTCGTTTATCTGCTTGCTGCAGAGCAGCAAGGGGAAGCCATGGGGCTTGATAACAGTACAATAGTAACAGCACAATACTGAGTACAGTGACAGAAGAGCATTGCTGTTAACAGAATACAGTTCTGGGATGTTGTCATTCCCTAAACCTCAGGCTAACTCAAATGGAGGCCAGTGGTACAGTAGCTAACTTAAGGTTTCCTATAGCAACTATTGCCATAGTATATAAGTGCTTCTTAGGTTGGTTAGAACTACAGGGTGAGGTCCGAAGTGGGCTTCATGGAGTCTTTCTTCTTCTCCCTTGTCTGGCTATCGTATGCTCTTCTTGGGGTATAAACCTTTATCAAACCATGCACTGCAACTCATGGTAAAGGATAAAGGCCAGAAGAATGATAAGTTATAGGTTTTACTAACAGAAACAACGAAAGGGGCAAGGTCTGTATTGTCTCCATAAGGTTGTGGGAGACAGCAGTAATAAAGCTACTATTTGTAAAGCATTTTGAAGTTGTAAAATGCTAAGTAGTCCTCCTATTACCTCTAGGAGTTATGCAAGAATGTATTATCCTCATTTTACATATGGAGAAACTAAGTGAGAGGTGAAGGGTCTGATGCTGATCCCATGTCATTGTAAATCAAGCGTAACTCCACTGAACTCAATGGAGTTATACTAGTGGTAAAACTAATTTGAGATTGTAAATAGGGCCTAAAATGTCTAAGGGCTTGTTTACACTTACTGGGGGGGGAAATCGATGAGTGGTGATTGATATATCGGTGGTCAATTTAGCGGGTCTAGTGAAGACCCGATATATCGACTGCAGATCGCTCTCTCATCAACTCCTGTACTTCACCGGAATGAGAAGAGTAAGGGGAGTCGACGGGAGAGCATCTCCCATCGACATAGCATAGTGTGGACCTCGCAGTAAGTAGGTCTAAGCTACGTCAACTTGAGTTACACTACTAACGTAATTCAAATTGCATAGCTTAGATCGACTTTCCCCACATAGTGTAGACAAGACCTTAAGCCCAGCAGGAGTCAATCTCTGAGCTGGGGTTAGAACTCATGGGGTTCAAGCCAATAGACCGTACCTCTCTTTTAAGCATTCACAACACTGTTAATGGGCAATCATATTATAATACTAATAACCTATCCTTGCTCCTCCCCAAAATTTAGGTGCCCAGATATTACAGTGAAAGGTGCTGCAGAAAACCCTTAGACAGTCAGACTAGATAGATACTCTTCACAAACTCACCTGATCTGAATCGTTGACAGTAATTTTCAGGCCCCTCAGGATTTCACCCTCGGGTGGGTGCTCATACATTGTCAATTCAAACCGATTCTGGGGCCCATTTTCTCCATAGAAAGTTGGTGGGTGGTTATTGAGGTCGACGACCCTTATAGTCACGGTGGCAAAAGCATATGCTGTCACATCACCATCTAGACTTATTTCTGATGCCTGTGATAGGTAAAAGAAAAACTGTAGTGCTTTCTTTGTGGAGAACTATCAGTTCAATTAAAATGTTTCTTCTCTCAGGCCCTCAGAGGGCCTTAATCTGTGTGAACAAATCACATATTAAGGGTAATTTTGTACATGAGTTGAGTATGCCTGATGCCCTTACATTTGTCTAGATCTTTAAATTCGTGTTAGAAACCTTGGTCTGAAGCTGAGGCTAGGTCTACACTACAGGGGGGAGGGGTCGACCTAAGATACGCAACTTCAGCTACGTGAATAGCGTAGCTGAATTGGCGTATTTTAGGTCGACTTACCTGGCTGTGAGGACGGCGGCGAGTCGACCGCGGCTGCGCCGCCATCGACTCCGCTTCCGCCTCTTGCCGCAATGGATTTCCGGAGTCGACGGAAGAGCCATCGGGGATTGATTTTATCATGTCTTCACTAGATGCGATAAGTCGATCCCCAATAGATCGATTGCTACCCACCGAATCGGCGGGTAGTGAAGACGTGTCCTTAGGGATGGAAATCTTGGCTCTATTGAAGTCAAACTGCACTGACTTTCAGTGAGGTTAGGATTTCACTCTAGAGCGCTACAAACTTGCAGAAAGTCGTATTTGTGCTCAGCCATCCAAAAGCTTAACAAAACCAATGGTCCTGCATTGGCCACAAGGCCAAGTCTTCAGAAAAGAGCTCCACAATCCACCTCTGTCCTAGAATGAAAACTGCTCTCTAGGGACGAATTACCAATTGACATAAAATAAGAGATGATCTGAACTTTTGCCCAGAATGAAGGTTCAAGGTGAATAGGAACCCAAAACGCTTTGAAGTTCCAAAAAGCTTGGACTTTTCCTCCAGGTTATTTTTCAGGTACCCATGCTCTTCTTGGTTCTGGCAAAGGGCATGAGTGCTGAAGCACTGTGAGAAGAACTGTGCTTTTGCAGTATTTGGGGGGCATATGGGAAGAAGAAAGTACTAGAAATTTCCTTCTGGAGAGGCTGCTCTCAGATTTATAGCCCTGCTTTGCTGACCCCATGGACAGGCAACCAAACTGAACTACCAGACTTGTTGAGGTTCACCCAATCAATACTCTTCTCATTGACTGTGCCTCTGATGTTTCTTCCACTACAGAGGAAACTCTGGCTGCTGCTTTGTATAAGAAATTGGTTACCAGTAACCGAGGAATCAAACTCTAACTGGTTAAATTAATCCCTGGTGTACACCCATTTCAGTCAAAGAGTTTTCAAACCAACACCAATTATGGCCCAATATTTCAACCTTTGTTCTACTTGCATCAATTGACTTGATGGTACGGCATGATGCAACATGATTTTAACATGAATTTCTCTAGAGGATTTTATGTCTTAAATCTCTGAGCATGTAGAGCCAGATTCTCAGCTTGAAGTCAATAGCAGCCCACCAATTTACACAAGCTAAGAATCTGGCCCTTTACTATTGTTTTTAGTATAAAATAATTCAGCATTTATTTATTTATCTTTGGGCTAAGTCACAAGGCCCTTCTAAAGACTTAATCTAGTTCTTATTCAGGAAAACTGCCATTGCTTTCAATGCATGTTTGTGTGAGGAAAAATTGATAAGGGCCTAATGATGTGACCCTGTGCCATTAAAATGTTGATCGTTAGAATCCTGTGTAAATTTAGGCAGCATGTCACATTCATATCCTGTCTCTTTAAAATTCTGTTCTCTTTCCAGTTCTAACCTTGGACGTGTGTGTCAAAGTTGTGTTAGAGACCCAGTCAAGTGGATATGGATTTAATAGCTATGATCCACTATTCAGCATCATTTATCCTAACCCGCTCAATGATTATGGATTTAATAGTAATCCACTCCAGCAGATATGGATTTAATAATTCATTAATTTTCATACTCAATAATAAAAATTGAAACTAGAGAGTGAGCAGACAATCACCTAAGAGAAAGAAGACTGTAGAGCTGGGAATTAATTTGTGACTATTAGATTTTATTTCCAAGAGGAAATTGGGGGCACTTTGAATATCTGGGCAAACAATGGGAAATTATGCTAATTTACATGAGGTGATGATCTGACCTTTGAACATACAAATACAACATGTAGCATTTAGGACTTGGTTCATGTTACCTGTTTTTAACACAGATTGACACTCATGGCTAGTAGATCACGGGCACAGGGAAACTATGGAGCATACCTGAATTTTTAGTTCATACACTTCTTTCTTTAGTCTACTTGGGTTTTTTATAACAGAAATAGCTCCAGTCGTATTATTTATTTCAAAAGATCCTTCACTTCCTGTCACAAGAGAAAGGGACATTTGATTATGGTGATCACATTTTCCAACTTCCTGAAAAAGAAGAGTTCTAAAAAAAACATGAGCAGTAAAATGTACAGTGTTTTGTATAAAAAATAAGTTGTAGTTCCTATCTAGCCGCTAAGTGACAAAGGACTGTGAGGTAGGGCACCTAGGGCAGCCTCTACAAGGAGTAGTAACTTACCGGCCTGAACTCACTTTGGATAGCAAGAGGTAAAAATTACATTGCTACCACATTTTAGGCATATAGCTGGTGGTCATCACCAGGGTGGATGTAGATGCTTGAAGTGGTGCAGTTTTTCTGGATCATGTAATGTTTAAATATTATTGAGCAAAAAAATCATACAAATGGCCATAACTCAGAAACAATTTAATTTTTAACCAAAATTGGCAGAAAGCTTCTAAATACAATTGATAATGCAAGTATGTTCTCAAAAATAGTACTGTTTTAGAAAGTTTGGGAATTATTTTGCCCCAGGTTATATTTTATGCATTTTCCCATACTTCTTTTGCCTTTGATTAAAGCACGACAGTATGAGCTCATCACATGACAGTCTGAGCTCATTTGTACCATGTAATACAGCAAAATATTTGTCATTATTTGTGCAATGGATTGAGTTGCGAAGTTTTGCAGATAAGACTTTCTACCCCCTAATTATAAAACATATATTCCTGATGATATCTGCTTGCCCAGAGACATAAGTCTAAAGCACCCACGATACAAATGTAATTATCTTTTTACAATCACTGAACACAATGATGATACATGTAAACTATTTATATAACAGTAATGACTCTTGGTAAGAGGGCTTTAGAATGTCTTGTATGACTATATCATGTGAATTACAAAAGTATAATAATGTACTCTTATGTAATCCCTACACAACACTATGAGCTCCTGAATGTCAAATGAAACACCCCCTCGGGCTTTATCAAACTCTGGAGCACTCCATGTAGCTCAAAAGCTTTTCTCTTTCACCAAGAGAAGCTAATCCAATAACAGATGTTACCTCACCCACCTTGTCTCTCTAATACCCTGGGAACAACATGGCTACAACAACACTGAAAGAAAGGAAAAAAAAAAACCAAATGTGCAGTCAGATAATACTTGCTCAGAGCCTTATCTTTTGTGCAGAGATGCTGATGCTTCCCACAGTGCTTGTTGAGTGATTGCTTGATGCTCATGTCATGTTCATACAACACTAAAGAGTTTGGCAGTCCGGTATACTGCTCCCCCATTATCAATTAGCTTATAGTATATATCTGGCTTCTCTTCCTCCAGAAGTCTGTCTTCTGCTACATTTACACAACCCTATCTAGAATAATTCACATGACCATACTGGAAGTCAAGTGGAAAAATCTTTACCAATATCTCAAGCTACATGGACATGTTATCTTCTCTCTCTTTGCTGCTATGTAATCCATCAGTAGTTGGGAGAAATCCATTAAATACATTTCTCTTCTTGGAAAACTATCTGAACAGTTTTTTCCTTGGGTAATGTAAGTATCCATGAGCTAGAAGGGTGAAGCTATTCACGATGTCTGCCTGCCAGAGCATTCAGTGTTTCCACTGTTTTCTCTGTGTGCCTTCTCTACATCTTCAAATGCTTCAATCCATTTGGAGCTTTCTCCAAGAAGCATCTCGTCTCATCTTCTGGGAGAACATCATTGTTCATGGAATCTCTAGCTGCAATCCATTTCAAACCATTCATTGCGTTATTCATAAGTTTGTGAGTTCTAATGCCACGGTTATATACTTTCACTCTTAGAGCCTGGCTGATGACTGAAACACCAGAGATTTGCTTCCACAAGGATGTCACTTGCCTGCATCAGACTGCCTGTATCACCCTTGAGATTCATTGCACGATACATGCCTCCTATCTGAAGGTGGTCATGATCAAATTCATGTTAATTCCTCCATTTAATCAACTGAGTGTTGCAGGAGATCGCTTCATGATACACACCATAGGTCCAGTTTTGGATCAGAGAGGGAAATACCCTGAAGCTATTTCATCATAGTGTACACTGTATTAACATCAGTTGCTGGTGCAGGAATCATTGGACAGTAGCCAATATTCATAAAATATAAAATAGGAGACAGGACAAACTTCTCAAATCAGTCTAGTCTACAAATATTAACAAATATTTTGATATGTTACATGGTACAAATAAGCTCATGCTGTCTTGTGTCTACAGACTTTTGTTTTAACCAAAGGCAAAAGTTTAGAGGAAAATGCATAAAATATCACCTGGGGCTAAATATTTCCCAAAGTTTCCAAAACTGTGCCATTTGTTTTCAAAGGGATGTGGGGTTCCGAATAGTTAGTTTGCAAAAGAAAGATCAGAGAGATATGCACAATATACAGAAGGGATTCTACATCAGGGTGGAGATCGGAGCAAGGTCAACAGCATTTCTCCTTCTATGTAACACTATCCTCCAGATGCACAAGGCATCTCAACAAGGCAGTACTTCTGTGTTAGAAAGAGGGGATAAAATGGGAATGGGATTCACTGGACAAATTTTTCAACAGTGATTTGTGCTTTGGATACTGTTGATTTTGGGTTCCCTGCTTGCAATGCCTTACAAAGGTGTGATTTTCACAAAGTGCTGAAATTCAGTTTCCATTAAGGTATCTGAAGTTGGATATTCAAAATTACCAGTCACTTTTGTACATATTGATTTCATGTGCAGACAGAAATAAAAATGAGCCTTCTCAGTTTAATTGGCAAATACTTAATAATGCCTTTGCAAAAACAAGAATCGCTCTCACGAATATCAGCTAAAGTGAGAAGTCTGACAATCTAACCAGAAAACAGTCATTCCTTGTGCAGCATATATCTCTAGGGGCCTTAGATGTCTGGGCATTTAAAAACTCAACCTCCTAAAAGATGATACTGTGTAAAAAGGCCTTCTGTGGATATAGGGTCAATTCTGACCTGAACACCCGCTGAGGCTCACAGGCATGATGGAGCTGGTACGGCTGTGTACGGATTCAGCAAACCCACTCTTCCATGTGTCTGGGCAGAGCATCAATTGCACCATTTGTACTATGCTCCCTTTCTGACATGGCTAATTCGCGAAGCGAAGCAGAAGGCAGCTTCTGGAAATAGAATAATCACTTGGGTGCTTGCTGCCCACATCTTTGCCCCATCTCCTCTGATAAAGGTAGCCTGCTGCATGAAGAAAGCAGGTAGGAAATGAAGGCACAGGAAAAGAGCTTGGCTGCAAATACTTCATTAGTCTGAAAGGGAGACTTACGCTGGATATTTCTCTCCCTGCCCTGCAGCATGTATGGAAATCTGGCCATGAATTGGGTTTTGTGGCAGAGCCCATGCACTCATGGACAGGTCCATTGTTGCTGCAAGGAAATCAAACTGAAAAGAACAGGAGTACTTGTGGCACCTTAGACTAACAAATTTATTTGAGCATAAGCTTTCGTGGACTACAACCCACTTCATCGGATGCATGTAGTAGGAAGAAAAGAAAACTCAAACCCAGTTGCCTCTTCAGAAATAAAGGCTGATTACATGAAAGCCCAGTCATTCTTCTCTCTCTCTAATTTGACTTTAATGCTCATTTTAAAATGTCCAATAATGCCTTGTTTTGCGAATATCTGCAATACCTGCAACTTCATTAAAGTTCATTAGACACCACAATGAATGATCCAGACGTAGTGGCAGTAAATCATTAAGATTCATAAGCCTGAAAAGTAAAGCCTGACTGAGAAGAAGCTGAAGTCAATAGTTGTTTCAATCAATGATACATCATATTGCCCAATTACCATAGGGAAACCGGTAACTCAGAGTGTGACATTATGTACATTCTGTAAGACAGCATATTTTGAAGCTTAGGGTTTCCTTTTTAAAACAAAAAAGTGATTTTAAAACAAAAAGTGTAATAATAATTACTATTCATAAATAATTAACAATAGCATGTTATGGTTTCCTTGCATTTTGACAGCACAAACTCAAGGTGTAGAATAGGGGCCTCTCTTGATTGAGGCTAGTGTTTGCATAGGGGTGCGGGGAAGTAAGGCAGTGTTCTTCCTCCCATACCTATTCCCCCACCTCCAGGGCTTTGAGTGGCCGGAATAGTCCCCATCTCTTCCCACTCCAGAACCATGATTGGTTCCCTCCTCTCCTTTCTGCTCCCACACTTCCTGCTAGTGAAATCTCACTACAATGTACATGGAAACGTGAATAAAATGTGCTGGCCTTGAAGTTGCATGGGTCTCCCAGTGTGTTCTTCTGTTGGCTACCAATTTAGATAGGAAAGTCCCTCAGCGCAGGATCATTTATGTCTAGTAAAGTGCCAGGCACAATGTTGGTTCTTAAACTATAAATAAGCAAAATAAATGATTTCAAGATGAGCAGTGTAGCTCCATGAAGCAAACACTAAAACTCAGTGAATAATCTCTGGGCTGCTCCCAGCTAGACAAGAGCCAGGAATGGTTTCAGTGTCTGACCCTATTTCATGAGAGGTACCTTCAGCTTTACTAGACTCTAGCATGCTACGTTCTGATTTAATGTCATGTCTAGCGTTGACATCCCTTAGGATTTCATGCCAACTGTGTCTACTCACCATTCACAAGACAGTAATGAATATTATTAGGCTTTCCTCGGTCACCGTCAAGAGCAACAACTGTTAGTACCTCAGAGTCCTAGGGAGAAATGAGGAATTACAGCTTAGGTAGTGAGAGCAAAGAGCAGTTAAATTGCTAGCGAATATTAATAAAATCCACTCCAGCCAGTTCCTCCCCTATAACCAGGTGATAGGTGCTCTTGCTGTGGCTGCATGAGGATGACAGCAGGGGCCTATGCTCCTGCCAGAAAATAAGTCACAGCTTGACTTTGTATCAGGCCATTTGACTGGTTGATCTACAGGCCCGGAGTGTGCTCAGGATTAGCTTTTGGGACGGGTACCCTCCCCCTGTTAAGGGATCTGGGGCTCTTTTGCCTCTACTCTTCTACCAGTAAAACTCCCACCTGCCCATCCATGTGCTGCAGCAGAGGGACTGGTTGTTCCAGGCCATTGTGAGGCCTGTACTGCTTGTAGACTCTTTCCTGTTCTGCACTGGGAGCTGATACGGAAGGTCGGGTAAATTCTCAGTGTGAAATGCTGAATGTTGACAGGTCAGTTTGTGTGTGAATCAAATGGCGATTAAAATGGGGGATGTCCATGCTATTGAATTTGGTGAATGGGAGATGGGAATGTCGCAGGACTGCAAGCGCTTGACCTGGGACTATTCATTACCAAGATGGAATGTTTTCTGGCTTATGGGCTATGCTAGCTGGTCAGGCAATATAGCTGACCAAGACCAAGTTAGTTCAGGGATCGACTGAAGGAGACCTAGGGGACGTCCTAATTATTAGTTGGAACCAGGGATAGCCTGTGCTCAGGAAATCAGCTGCAACTAGCCCTTGCTACAAGGCCTATTTTAGGTTTTCTTTGTGATGATGATTATGATTATATTCAGTGCCATCTGTGCCATTCTTTGAAAATGGGAGCATGCTCACTGCAGCATCCTGAGCCAAGATCATGCCAATCATTTTAGTGTCAGCAAAATGTAAGGATCCGCAGGAAAGGCAGAAGCAACTTTCTGGCTTGTGGGTCACACAGTTGTTGCAAAGTGTAACTCTGGCTCACAACTGTTAATCCTTTCTGTTGCCAAAATACTGTGCTGACTTGTCCTTTTCCCACCTGCTCTTCTACTTTTTCCGACACAGCCTTTTATGAGCAGCTATGGAATCAGAGAATGCTGCTCTGCTCCCCTGTGGAATGGTTACTAAACCCATGTGAGCATTTCATGGCAATGCTGAGTACATTAGCCCAAACCGAGGCAGTGAATTCTATTCTGCAATCGTTTTAAATACTGTTGCTCTTACTTCCCAGGGAACAGACCACCATGGTAAGTGGACAGAGCCTGGTAAAAAAGAACCAGAGATGGGCACAAGCCATACATTTGGATGAAAGATTCTAAGTCACAGTTTGGGAGTGTTCACCCTCTAGGTTTTAGTTAGGCTCATGACATTGCAAAGACTGGAGCCACTTACAAAATTCAGGTGTAGATTGGAATTCCCTGGCCATCCAAAAGTTTGAGAGAACTCAGTTTTAAGATTTTGGGTTCACGTCCACCTCCGATTTTAAGCAGAGGAAGTCAGCTCTATTTCTTCGGTCTTCTCCTCATACAGACGTTATATTCATTTAAATGAGGGTACCTTCATTTCCTAAAACTCCTCACTTAGAACTTGTCTTGCAAGGTCCTTTCTCAGTTCCTAATGATATCAAAGGAGTTGAAATGCCCAAAACCTTGCAGGCTCAAGTCCTCGGATTTGATCCTGGAAATGCCACTCAACTGTTGTAGACCTCAAATATGTATGTACTGGTAACTACTCCACAGGTTTCCAGTGCTTGGAATTGCAATGGCTCATTGCCACGTAATTCACCAAGCAGCAGATGGTCATTTCTGGTCTCTCCAATAAAATCAAGATAGACAGCAGAAGCAATCTATGGATCCCAAGGCAATGTGATTGGTAAGTGCTATGAAACAACAAGGAACATTTGTGGCTGTCTTTAAAATCTTTACAGTCTTTCATTTTGCCTAATTAACATTGCTGTAGGCTAGATGGTCACCAACATCAATAAGTTTTGCACAATTTCCTCACACAGGTAGGCCTATTGACTGAACTGGGGCTGCTCCCGGAGTAAAAATACTGAACACAATGAGCCAGGGTGGCACATTCTAGGCCCCTTTGTAAATTTCAGTCTACATCAACATAGAACCAGGGAACCCTGAGATAATGTTAAATCGTTGCAAATAGTGATTGGAAATATTTCCATGACAACCACTGTATATTTCAAACAATGGCAAGGTTCTGTCAGAGCAATAGCAATTACACAGTTTATAGTATGTGCTGGCAAAACCCTTCCTCAAAGAGTTACTTAATTTCTTTACCATATTGATGAACAAGATATTCACAGAGAAAAAGATGGATAAATAGCCACAGAAAACATCAGTGTTCTATTTCTAACTTTTTATGCTGGAAGATGGATTTAAAGAATGGCTACTGGAAGAACTCCAGTGCAGTCCCTTGGATAGAGATAGAGCATTTTGTCATGGGTTAAAAATGTTAACTCCAAGAAAGCACCACCCAGGAAAAAAAAAAAGTAGCAACTTCATGGAACTAAAGTTGAATGTGTAAATCAGAGTGAAAGCAGCAAGTGCATTTCTCTGTGTGAAGTTTGCTGTAATGGCTGAGGCCAGGCTGCGAAGGACACTAGTATTTCCATCATTATATCATCATAATAGTGTAAATTGCAGGGCTCAGACTGGATGTAATGAATACTTACTAACCCATGGTTTCCACAGTAAATACCATGTACTGTGTGCACTTGATAGATATGGGTCTTTCAAGATCACTTGGCAACTACGTAGAGTAAATTAGTATACATCACATTTTTAAAGCCTCTTTCAAGCCAAAGGATTGTGAAGTGCCTTAAAAACTACCTACAATATATACAGTAATCCCTTCCACCTCACCACCCTGCTGAAATGCAGCACTTTAGGCAAAGAACTACAGCAACTATTTAACAGCATACAGCAATGCTAAATTATAATTTAGGTCAGAAAGTAAAGAAAACTGCGTCTACTGAAACTGCAAGGGAAATTTAGGTAGACAGAATGTAGCCACACTGCTACTAGAAGTCAGAGTCTACAACTCAGTAACTTTATGACTAATAATACCATTTGCAGTGATATGTGCTAGGAGAGGGTAAATCAAAATCTCATGGTTAAGAATGAAAGCAGGTCTGCACTGGGCTTAGGGAGGAATTTCCACCTCCTTCATATATAGCAATTAGCTAGAGCTATGGTTTTGTTTCACTTTTCTTTGAGGCATCCAGTATAAGGCACAGCTGGAAGCAGGATAGTGGACTTTATGGACTATGGCTAATACCCTTTGGACTATATGCTATGGTTAATACCCTTTCTGTTTACAAGTGGCTGAATTGTTATTCAGGATTCTTCCATATCATGGAGCACTCAGAAGCTCCAGTCTGCCTGGGCTCTGTGGCCATGGATTAGAAATGGAACCTGATGGAGATATCTCCTCGCGGCAGCCATGTACTTGCTGTGTAGCCACTAACCTCCTGTCTCCACCTGCGAGTTATTTGCCCGATTGACAGTTTGGTTTCAGAGCTGTCAGCTGACTCTACAGGCTGTAAAGGCCGTGTCATAAACAGATAGTTAAGGGTTAATACCTCTTTTACCTGTAAAGGGTTAGGAAGTTCACCTAGTCTAGCTGACACCTGACCAGAGGAACCAATGGGGGGGACAAAATGTTTCAAAAGGAAGGAGGGAAGTTCCCTTTGTCTGGGTCAGTTTCAGTTTTGGCCGGAGTGGAAAAGATCAAGGAATCAGTTCTTATCAGAGTAGTGAGTATTAGAAAAGGAATAAATAGGTTTTGTTTATTTTCTTTTTGTAACTTGTCTTGCAATTAGGGGAATAATCAAATTGGGTATTCTTTTGTGTAACTAAGTTTTGCCCAGGGGAACATCCTCGGTGTTTTGAATCTGTTGTCTGTGAGAGTAGCTGGTATGCTAATCTCTCCCAGAGGTTTGTCTTTCACCTTTCTTTTCTTTAATTAAAAGCCTTCTTTTTAAGAACCTGATTGATTTTTCCCTGTTTTTAAGATCCCAGGGGATTGGGTCTGGACTCACCAGGAATTGGTGGGAGAAAGGAGGGGGGATGGTTAAATTCTCCTTGTGTTAAGATCCAAGGGTTTGGATCGGTGTTCACCCGGAAATTGGTGAAGAAGTTTCTCAAGGCTACCCAGGGAGGGAAAGGATTTTGAGGGGGGGGAACAGTTTCCCAATTGACTCAAACTATTTGAGTGGTGGCAGCCAGACCAGATCTAAGCTGTTAATTGAGCTTAGGAGTTCACATGCAGGTCCCCATATCTGTACTCTAAAGTCTAGAGTGGGGGTGAGACTATGACAGGCCACTTGACCCATTCCATCTCCAGAGCCATCATTCAGCAGAGAAGATCCCACATGACTGGCATGTCAGGGCACCTCCTCCCTAGTGACTCTAAGGGAGATGATGCCTGGGATCTGGTATCTTATAGGGCAGTAGGGGAGCAGAGTCAAAGTTTTCCTTGACCCATACCCTAGCTGATGGCTCCAAAACAGACCTCTCAGATGGTAAGTACGGGTTCATCTGGGTAAAAGATCTCCACTTGCAGCAATAGTCAGAGGCCTCTGCAGGGCTGGCTGGGTTAATGGGGGTTGCTCATTTGAGCTCTCAAACACTTTCAGAAGCGCTGCAAGTCTCTACCATGGAGTGGCTGTTAATCATGATCCTACTTGTACACGTAAAAAATCCCTGTGACTTCAAAGAGAGCTGGAGCAGGCTCTCTGTGATTTTGTGATGGACACAAATAAGTACCAGCATGAGATTTACCTGACTCATTTCACTTAAGATTCAAGTCAGAGTTTGAATGTAGGTCTCCAGAATTGGAAGGCTGGTGCTGGTGACACCTGACCCCACTGGTTTGTCATGTTGAAAGGTTTCTCCATTGCTTCTGGGTCTCCTGTAGGTGAAAGTGATACTCACCGCCAGGGTGTCCTCATAGACATAGCCATAGTAGGGAGTCCCAATGAACATGGGAGGGGTGTCCTGAACATCCTCCACATTGATAGTGACTGTGGTTGTGGCTGAAAACACCTTGTTGTCTCCCCTGAGCTTCCCACCACCGTCCTACAACAGAACGCATTGTCAAGTCATTATGCTGAAATTCACCCACTGGAACTCCTGATTGGAGATTTATCAGCTCACAGAACCCCACACTCCTGATTAGTACACTCCCAAAACTAATGCATCTCCTGCAATACATACAGGGCCAGAATCATCAGAACAAGAATGCGTGGAGATATTTATTCTAATCTTAACAAGAAAATGGTCAATAACAGGTGGAAACAGCTCAACTAAACAGAGAGCTTTAGAGCTAATCAATGAATGCCAAGAGTTATAGAAAACTCTGCTCTGTCCTATTCCTTCTATTTTTGGTTTGTTTAGTTCCCTCTGTGATTAAGCAGACAGCCCTGAGTCTCCCTGGAGTCATTTTTAACATTAAAAGTGGTTGTACTGATACATGGAATCACATGTATTATTTTGCATTTGAGCTCCTATTTATCAATGCCACCTAGGGAGGAAAACCAGTCTTTGCAGGAAACAGGTAAGTGAGAAGAAGAGGCCAAATCTGGAGGAACATCTATAACTTTTCATGCTAAATGTAGGGCATAACAAAAGACACTGCTCCAGGAAGTGCATTGCTGGGGAAGATTAAATTCTGCATGTGATCAAAGTCTCCTACGGACTCTTGTGATACAGTCAAAGGCGTGAATGAGCATAAAGCTGGGAATTGTTAAGTGGCCACGGTGTAATCAACTCTGTTTGTGCTACTGACACGACAGAGCCAATTAGAGACGACTCAAAATATGAGAAGATTTTAACCCTTTAGTAATTATGCTGATTATTAAAGCAGTGAATAGTTTTGCGTCCCCACTGTAACAAGAATAAAGCACTTTTATGCAGGGATATGTCCACTTCCTCCCACCCTCAGCCACTCTGCACTATAACAAAGACAGGTGAATTTGGACCACATTTTGCCACAAACTCCTCCCCGACTCAAGTCTGGCCCCAAAAAATTAAATGACACCCAGACCAAGCTCTTCTCACAAAACACAAGAGCACTTAGTAGGTCCTAAGGTGACCAGACAGCAAGTGTGAAAAAAATCAGGACACGGGATGGAGGGCAATAAGTGCCTATAGAAGAAAATGTCCCAAATATCAGGACTGTCCCTATAAAATAGGGACATCTGGTCACCCTAGTAGGTCCTCACAAATGTTCTTTGTGGCCTAGCAGAAGTCATGTCACCTCATAGCACCTGCCCAAATGTGTCTATCAGAACTACAGGTCCTATATATTTCTGCAAGTCTTTGCACCTCAGACTCAATAGTTTGACAGTCTGTTATGAGTCTACAGCACAGACTCCATAGGATTTATAGCAGTGGGGAGAGGAGTGGAATGTGCAGCTGCCTCTAAAGGATATGAATAACTATGGCCCATTAGTCAGTCCATAAGAGAGGGAAGAAAATATATGGGTTTTGGAGAAGAGATGTGTCACCTTTGTTCTGCAGCGTGACTATTCTCCACCTGCTGTACTGACAAAGAGCAGTGATGCACACAAACACTGCCAGTACTGCAGTTAATTACTCTACTTTATGTGCTGATAACTCCGACTCCTAGATATTGCTTCATGCCTTCATAATGGTGGGTTCCCTCTTACAGCGCACACACTGCTGATTACTGCACTAGCCAGAATGAGGGTAACTCTGAAGGCATACTCCTCTGCGTCTAATTCTTCCCCATTCTTCTTTGGGCCATTCTCAGATGTGGCTTTCCACAGTTAAAGTCCTTCCCCTCCCTGCCTCTTCTTTCAGGAAAGAGCTTGATACCTTTGCTACCACGGTGACAAAATGAGTTCTTGATTTTTCATAGTCTAGAGTGATCCCTGTTTTGATGCGAAGAACACCACTGTGTCGGTCTATGGTAAACTTATTAGTACGGATGTTCTAGAAGAAAAGAAGAGGAGAAGTGGTGAAAGATTACTGGTATGGAAACAAGACTAGTATTTGGACTATATTTTATTTAACTTGCTAAAGATATAGACTAGAATAATAAACAGAGGTGGGTAAATAGTCTGTAATGAATAATTCATGTGATTAATTTCACCTCTTTGTGTTCAGAAACAATTTATGAACAGGTCACAATTTTCTCATTATTCAAAATAATGCAGCAACCTTAACTTAGACATTTCCCAGCCTTTAATATTTAACTATGTAGCCATAATATTCTGTTAACATAGTTTATTGGATGGAATTAGTTGGTTTTTTTTGTTTTAGAAAATAAGAAGATGACCCCCCCCCCCTCCTCCCCACGACACACAAAAAAGTTGTGTCCCTCTTCAGGACTTCAAAATTCTACTGGCTTCCAAAAAACTGGCAATAGTTCATGTACAATCCATTATCTGGAACACTGGCCAGGATTTTCAAAAGTGATTGCTGAATTTTGGATGCCTAATCTGAAGTATTTTAAAGAAGCCTGATTTTGATAAGGTGCTGAGCATTTACCCTCTGAAAAATCAGGGCTTTTTAAGGTGTCTCATGGTGGGCACCAAACATTGAAGCACCCAAATTCACTGGTTGTTTTGAAAATCTTGACATATTTGAGTAGACATCACTACTAGAATGTTCTATCCCGTATATTGTAAAAAGCCAACACTTGAGAGAGAGAGAGAGAGAGAGAGAGAGAGAGAGAGAATGTGTGTTCCCCTGTTATGTGATACTTGGGAGCTCTCAGGGAGTGAGCCAATAGCTCTTGTGGAGCCTTTTGCTTCAACCAATGCACACTTTAAGTGGACTTTTTGCTAGACTGATACGTTAGTCATATATACACATGTATGGCATGGCCTTCTTTGCTGCACATTTTGTAAGCTTAGTGAAAAACCCTATGCAAAATGAATTACGTATGAGATTTTCAAAGGATCATAACTTGGTCATATCAAAAGCTAATTTCAATAGGGCACCCAAAAGCTTCTCTTAACAGTAAGGCTATGTTTGTGCCAAATTTCAATTTTCTACATTAATCTAACCTGGCTGCATCTAGCACTGTTCACAAAAAGTTTGCAATCATTCTTTTATAATGGGAAAATACATTTGTTCAGTGTCCTCATATTCAAAAATGGCAAAACCAATTTTTCCTCAAACTAACAAAAACTGCCTTCAGGAAGAGCACAAATCTAGAAAATTTCTGACACAAAGATGAAAGTTTTAGGAGTTAATGAGCAACTCCTAATAAGGGGATAGGACAGATAGAAATGTGCTGTCAAACAAAAGCACAGCCTGTGAAAATTGTCCAGGTATTATAACAATGCTCTGTAGATAATGTGCCTCTTCAGTGACTGACTACGGGTGACATTAAACAATGCAACATATTGTCTGCTAGCTCTGCCTCTTGCTAAGGAGAAAATGAGGGTCACTAGCATCTCAAAAGGGGAACAGAGTGGCAAAACGCAGAACAAAAATGACTGTGAACAAAAAGTAAGAGACTCAATTTCTGTGAGAGAAATGGGTTTTCACAGAGTGACCTGATCTGAGGGACTTGTCAGAATTGCAGAGTGGATTTGTAAGTGGCATTGAATTTAAATGAGAGTTAGATTTCCTTTGCAGTAAGATCATTGTGTTTGCTTTTTGTGTCTTTTTTGGCTGATTACAGTATTTGGTTTAGGATTTTTTTTCTTTCAGTTATCTCATGTTAAGACAATTAGCTTTAATCCTACATAAATATTTGCATTTTCTCAAGTAGACATTGATCCTGCACTCACTTTTGTCTAAGTAGATATTGTAATGAATGAGTTAGTCTATGTGTACCACTTCCTCTTACTGGGGAGAATCAAAATTATTCAGCGGCAGGCTAAGCTTTTAGCAACAGCAGCTCAGGTTGTAGCCACCTTTTCTTTACAGGATTGTCTTGATGAGGGAACGTGGTCAACCCTTTCAAACATGCCTATTAAATATCTGTTATTAGTTCACTCAAGGCAGTACCCTTGTTTGTCCTTCTCTTCACTGAGATAGTGCAAAAGTGATAGTACCTACTTGCCTATGCTCCCGATAAACAAGAAAGAGAATAAGTGGGGAACAGAAAAGGAAGCAGGAAATATGAGAATGCCAGTGATGTGGCAGGAGACAAATGTTCTGTTAGAACCTTAAAACACTGCATAAGTTAATCAGTGTTGCAAGTATGAGCAGGAGGAGAGCAGCAAAAATGAAAGGACGTGTGAATATATATGATGGGGGTAACAGAAAAATATTTAGCTGTATGTATTAGTTTTTTGGCAGATGGACCCTATCAGATCACAATGCAGGATCAGTCACAAGAGGGTTCTTTCTCCGCTGTCTGACTCTTATCCAGAGTTATCAGGAGTGCAACAGAGGTTTTCTCACCCACCTGATAATTCAGCCGTGTTGTTCACTCCTCCCACACTAAGGCCTTACTTAGTATAAAAGTTGCACTGCTTTAGTTATCCTGGCATAGTTACAGTGGTACATCACCCCTGCTGTGTATGCAGTTATATTGGTGTACATGTACTTATACTGGTTTAGCTTATTTCCATGCAGGAAGGGAAATAATCTATACTGGTCTAAGGTACCTCTTTCTGATCTAACTGCATCTATACCAGAGGTTGTACCAGTAGAACTACTACAGTAAAAAAACTAAACAAAAAAATCCCCACTCCCCTAACCAACTAACTATACTGCTATACAATGCGGTATGTAGACCAGGCCTAACAGGTAGCCAGGAGAGATGACCCTGACTTCACTGAGAAGCAGAAGGAGTGTTGTAGCTGAAGCACTGCAGAGAACCACGTGCAGCTGAGGGAGGCTGAGGAGGGATCAGAGAAGGCAGGAGTAGGGCTGAAGATGACTGAATCCTGAACTGAAGCTGAATGCTAACAGTTCCCAGTCCATGGTCAACCACCCCAGCTTTTTCCTAGAGGTACATATTAATTTAGAATCTATTTATCTCATGCATTTTCTGGGATCACTCCTACTGTTATGGTGACACTTCTAACAAGCTCCATGGCCTTGTTTTTATCCTCCTGGGGCCTGAACACCTCAGTAAATGAGACTACTTTTAAACATACATGTAATACCCATACCTGCAAGAAGTAGGTGATACTTCCCCCGGAACCCGTGTCTTTGTCCACTGCCTCGATCTTAAAGATACTGCTCCCCGAGGGAGTGTTCTGTGAATCAAAACAGTTACTAGAATCAAGGGGACTGGCAGAGTAATGGGAGATAAAAGATGAGAGAGGCAAGAAATGAGGAATGAATGAGAGAGGGCTGGAAAGCAGCAAAGGAATGAGAAACCAAAAATAGAGAGGCAGGTGGGAATGGGGGATTCAGAAGGTAGAAGGAAAAGCGATTGAAAGTCAGCAGAGAATGAAACACAGAATGTGATGGAGAGTGAATGGGCACATGTATGAGTGGGGATGAAAGTGAGGGAAATTATGGGATGAAAGAGGAAGAAAATATATTAAAAATAAGGGAAAGATTGGGGCAGAAACGGGAAGAGAGAAATGTCCGTGTAGGGGTCAAGGAGACAGAGAAATCTTCTTCTTCTATGATGTTGCTCCTCCTCCCATTGAAGTCAGTGGTAAAATCCCCATTGACTTCAATGGGAGGAGGAGCAGGCTTCCTGTGGAAAACAGTGTGCAAATAAGCATCACAGCTTTCCCATGGGAGACCTCACGCATTCAGACAGTGGAGAAAACCACAGCATGACTTCCTCACTAACCATACACTTTAGTGATACTCAAAACCTAACCAGCTAAACACTGAGTTAATCACATTAGTGATGGGATGTTACAGAAAACACATTCGCTTCTTTTCCCTGTTCCCCATTCAAACGTACTTATAGCATGAAAAAAAACCCTCAACCAACCTCTGGGACTTGGACTATGTAAGGTGTGTTGATAAATTCTGGACTCTCATCATTAGCATCTGTAACAAGGATTCGGACTTTTTCAGCAACCTGGAGTGGAATATGATAAACACTTATTGAAATAAACTAAATTATACCATATGCTTGTTCATTTGCACACTATGATCCCAACTGGCTAAGGAGTTCAATAGCAGTGAAAACTGCTTTGTTGTGGAATGTCCTCAAGCTACCATAATTCAGTAGGAAAATGGAAAGAGAGAACATCATGGGCTTCTTAAAGAATTTCCTCCCCCTGCCCCCCCCAAAAGAAAGGCAATAGTAAAGCTTTCCCTGAGAGTATTATTTATTGATTTATATTATGACTTTCAAAAGTCTCAGGGCACTCTATGAACAACAGATTATGGGGCTGATTTTCAAAGTTAGTTTCACACTTACTAGACTCTTCAAGAGCTTCAAAACATACCTGATGCATGCACATAAATGAGATATCTGTGCATAGGCAAGGCTACTTAGGTGCCTAGCTGGCTATGATGTGCACAGATACCTCATTTGATACCACTGCTGTTAGTGTGCATTAATTGGGTGTGTGCAAATGCATGCAGCTAACTTTGAAAATCTGGTCCCATTTATACCTAGAGAGCTCACTCTGACATCCAACATAAAGGAGCCCCTTCTGGGATGGAATGCAGTAGCTAACATCAATTCCCAGCAAAAGTGCAACTTTTTTTGTTGAAGTAAAGATCCAGATACTTTTATTTAAGGAGATTTCTATGGCACTGCTCATTATATATGAGCCTCCTAAACATTTATTCTCACTACGCTCCTCTGAGTAAGGAAGCATTGCAGAGAATCATTATTCCAGTTTTACAGAGGAGAAAATGAAAACACAGAGATTAAGGTTCAGATCCTCAAAAGTATGTTGGTGCCTAACTTCCACTGAAATCAATGGAAGTTAGGCACTGAAATACCTTTGAGGATCTGGGCCTACGTGACTTGCCCAAGTTACCATGGATAGTTTTGTGGCACATCCAGAAGTAATACCCAAGTTTTCTGACCACCAGTCCTGTGCCTTAATCATAAAACCATCCTTCCTATCTTTAAAACAAATAAAAACAACAGGGAAATGTATGGGTCTCAAGTGGAATTAGGTCAGGATATTGGTGCAGTCACTTCAATTAGTCTTGTGAAAATGATATCAGGCCCTTAATAATAAGAGCTTCAACAACAAACAACAAAACAAACAAAAACAGCACCCCAAGCAAAACAGAGCTTCATAGTGCAACGCCATACCATGAAAGTTCACTAGTGACTCAAAGGGAGGAACACCAGCTACTGACTCTCCAACACTAATTCCTGCAACACTGAATTTTTCATTAGAGGTCTCCAAAAATTTACCAGGCCCAACTCTTCTTTGGGCTTGAGACCTACTGTTTTCTCAGCCTAAGGTGACAACTTGTATGAAAAGATACCATGGTTTTACGGCCTACTTTGAGTCAGACTTTTGCCTTGGACCACAGAATCCAAAATCAGTTTGAAATGACTGCAAGGAGTTGGATTTAGGTCTGAGTTACTGTGATTTCATCAAAGAGCATAAGTAGCATAAGACCCTCATTTCTACCATGTTTTCTTATATAACAAGATACAGTATGAAAGGTGGCTAATGCAGAAAGGGTGAGCTTGACAAGCTTTGGCACATGTGAATACTCACTGTACTCAGGCCATCTGAAATACTGACTATAACTTCAATCTCATCTTCTTTCTGCAAACAAAGGCAATTCATTTAAACAGAGGTCCAGTATTTAGCAAAATTATTCAAGGAGGGTTTGCGTATTTAAATGGATCGCAAGAATACCCAGAGTTATAACAGTTAACACTAACGAAGTGAGTATTGGAAAGGAAATAAAACCTCATGTTTTGGGGCATAAGACGATCTCTAACTATTAGGGATTAGGATGAGTCTTTCATGGGGTGAGGGGAGGAAATTAGCCTACATCAGCATTTTGTGGGATTTCTTGCATTTCCCTCTGAGGCATCCAGTGTTGGCCACTGTTGAAGACAGAATGCTGGACTAGCTGGACCATGCAATTTGATCCAGCAATTCCTATGTGTGAGTTGCTGGAAGTCAACCTTTGCATTTTTCAAGAAAATACTAACTAAAAAGGTATTGTGTGAAACTTCTGCTCATTGGTGTACAGTGGTTTAAGGGATTTAATAAACATTGGGCAGTCTCACCTGAAAAGGATTTCCCCCGAAAACAGGTCAAATCAGGAGTTTAGAGCATCTGATCTTGGAACAAGGTTGCCTAATATGCCATGTTTGGTGGGACTATCCTGAGCTGACAGGAAGGGCTTTCATTTAACTGGATACATGTTTCTTAACCCATTTTAGTGACTTTTATTTCCATTATTTGTAATCAGTCCCAAATGAAATATTTAAGGAAATTCAACAGCAGCAGCATGGCACTTAACTGAGGGTCCGACACCTAAGAAAATATGCTTGTGTGTATGTGGGAAAGAGCATATATGCGGAGAAATATTCATTTTTGGTATCAAACAATCTGTCCTTGAAAAATAATTACAGAGAACCCAACTCATCCTACATCTGGGAGAATCCTAAAGAAATTCAGATTCCATCTCCTAGGATTAGAGAACCTTAGCTGCATCAGGCACTAAACAGAAAACAGAGTAGGAATAAACAGTGAATTTTCTATTTGGCAAGAGTGGGGAGGGATAGCTCAGTGGTTTGAGCATTGGCCTACTAAACCCAGGGTTGTGAGCTCAATCCTTGAGGGGGCCATTTAGGGATGTGGGGCAAAAATCTGTCTGGGGATTGGTCCTGCTTTGAGCAGGGGGTTGGACTAGATGACCTCCTGAGGTCCCTTCCAACCCTGATATTCTATGATTCTAAGAGTTTAACAGTTGGGTACTCAAAGATTCTGTAGTAGAAGCAATGTTATAAATGAACTGGAAAAGGAGATGATAAGTGCAATAATATACTGTATTATATTAATATGGATACAATTAGACTGCAGAATAAGTTTACATGATTTGGAGGCCAAATAGACTCAGACTTTATGGGCAGAAGGGACTGTCGTGACCATCTAGTCTGACCTCCTGCACATTGCAGGCCACAGAACCTCACCCACCTATGCCCGTAACAGACCCATAACCTCTGACTGAGTAATTCAAGTCTTCAAATCATGACTGAAAGACTTCAAGTTACCATTTACACCACGGTCTGAATTGACACTCTCCCTTAAAACTACTAATCAAATTAAAAACTTGAATCCATTATAGAAACATGCAGATAGGTACTATTTCATTGTGCTTTACCTCTCTATCAAGCTCCTCAATCAAGGTGACATTTCCAAAATTTGCATCAATGGCAAAGTAACTTCTTGACCCAGTTTCATAGGTCATTCCGTAGGTCACAGGATCTCCTTCTGGGTCAGTTCCATTCAGAGTGTACACATGTGTACCTGAAAAGATAGATTTAGTCATTCCACAAGACTTCCCAATGGTAACTTCAACCAGGATATGTCTTCAATGAACTATTTCTTATGCATTTAGCTCCTTTTTATGGTTAGAGAAGTTTTGTAAACCAGCTCCAATTTCTAGGAATGTATTCATAGAGTCACAGATTTTAAGGTCAGAAGCAAACACCAGATCATAAGTATACAGTTCAATAGTTACGATTCATAATTTTCTGCCTATTGGTTAAACCCAGATAATCAGTGTGGGCAACCGGTCCTTCCCTCCAGAGCCCTCAGCTGCAGAATACCACAAAGTTCAATCTTCTTCCCTCATACAATTCATTTGGATGAAGAGTAGCTGGCTAATCCTGAACCCAAGCAAGGCTGAGGTGATGCTGGTAGGAAGAAGTAAGAGCTCTGAATGATTTGTATCCTCTGTAATATTCCCCACTATTGAGGGTAACTGCCCAGATTGTTAAGATCGTCCACACTATTGGGATCCTCAATGCTATTGGATGCCCAGCCAGCCATGAGAGCATTAAAATGCCCACTTCCATCTGAAGCTGACAAGAAGACTGCTGCCCATCCTCACAGGACAGCTATGCCTCATTGGAACAATGGAACTGTAAGTCAATATGTGGAGTCCCGTGAATATTGAAGACAACTTCCACAAGAGCTGGACCTGGACTATTGAACTCTCCCCTGACAGAGATGTCAGAATGACCACAGGCTTACCCAGTCTCAGAACTAAATAAATGTCAACCTCCTTTCTTCCACTTAGCTTTCCCTTCATTTAAATTCTTTATACAACACACCCAACCATCCACTCACTCACACACAAATGAATAAATCCTATAAGCTAATCAGTCTAATTCACCTACAAGATGGTCAAAAGAGATATTATTTCTATTTTTAAATACTTGAGAAGATGGTGCCAGCTTGTGTGGTGAATTGACTCCTTTTATCAAAATTGACATTTCCTGAGGGAACTGCATTTTCAAAACATTGTGGGGCATTTACTGGGCAATATCCTTGAAAGTCCATTATCCTACTTTGCATTTATATAGCACCCTTCATCCCTGGATCTTAAAATATTTTTCAAACATCAATTAACTGAGCCTGACAGGTGGTGTTATCCCCATTTTACAGGTAGGTAAACTGAGCACAAACAAGTTATGTGAATTACCCAGGATCATACGACAAGTTAGTGCCAGAGTCAGAAGTAGAACTCAGGAGTCCTGAGGTTCAGTCCAATCCTCTAACCACTAGGAAGATCATTCTTTCTAGTAAGAACCACAAACAACTCTAAAAATTATGCTCAGAACTTTTCTCCCTTGAAATTCTGAGGGTTCAATACTCAAAACCACGCTTATGGAAACTTATATTTTACACTGTGGCAAAAGTATTGTAGCTGAGTAACTCTACTGGCTGGGTGAACAGTGAAATTTGCTTATACCACGGACAGCCCACAAAAAGTCATAGCTCCTTCTCCTAAAGGAAGGATCGTGGCTGATGAAGTTGTGTGGCAAGGTGATTAGAAGGAAGATCTTTTTTCCTGGCTCTGTCAGTGGCAGCATGAATGATCCAAGCACAGCCCACAGAGGTGAACTGTGCTCTCCTCAAAATAAACGTGGCAGAGGTGGGCTCCAGATTTAAGGATTCACACAAGGTTAGTGTGTATTGTCTGATGAAACCACCAAGTTTTGCCTGGTTCCTGGTTAAAACCATTCAGAAACACTGAGTTTTGCAAGATTTTCACCCTAAGTTATATAGCAGCTTAAAATCATGCAGCGGTTCAATATCTTTTTGATGTCTGTAATAGAGCACATGTGGTTATTTTAGCAGCAGAGAGAGACAATGCTGCTGCAGGTTACTAGCTCCCTAACTACAGTTGATGTGCTGTGGATTGTGGTGCTGTCAGTAGCAACTATGCACCATGAATGTTTTCTTGTATTTTCTCAGATTTTGTAATAAAAGCTTTTCAAAGATCACTTGCTCACTCTTCAGATATAGAAATTAGACCTATCACAGGCAGAACACAATGGAGCAGAGGGCTAAAGGGCTATGGAACATCAAACAATATGGCATCTGAAGCTGACACTCAGCATATTTGGTTATCCGCAAGGATAGAGGGATTATTTTGAGAGGCTATTGGAAGATTCAGTCAGACTGCACTGCATCAGGTCTCATTTGTATGGCAACCTCTGCTATTGGAAGTGCTAAATATGTAGTATTTTCTTAAAGTAAAAGTTTAAATTTTGCAAAGAGTAACAGAGGAACAAGAGGTATGCTGGTGGTACACACTGCCAAGATCCAGCTTAACCCATCCCCAGTGAGTGTGTAGAGTTTGGAAAACAGGCGCACAAAATTGCAAACCAAATCATGTTTTCCTTAGGCTTTTCCATTTAAAAACTCCCAGGAAAATTATAAATATAACTTTGTAATTCACCAAGTAACTAGGAAAAGGCACAGAGGAGTCAAAGTTATTTTTGCTTTACTGCAAAATAAAATAAAAGGGGAAAAAAGAAAAAACTTGGTCTGAGATTTTTCTCAAAAAATGGGGTGTCACAGTGAGGTGTCTACATCCTGACTTAGCTTCCTATATAAGGGAACTGATTTTCAAAAAAGATGAACATCCAGCAGCTCCCATTGACTTCAAATGTTTTTGTTTCTGAAAATCTGTCTTGATGTTATACACGTTTCCGGCCAGATTCTGCTCTCATTTATACAGGCATATATCTGGATTAACTCCAATGACTTCAATGTCAATGCAGTCTTTTTCTCACTCTTTTTATGTCATTATAACTTTCCACTTTTTAATTGCCTCACTGTTATATTTCTCACTCTCGGTCTCTTCAACCTTATATATCTCTATCATGTCTATTTCCTCTCCAAATGCGTAACTGTTTTTCTGCCTTCCAGCTGATTTCTTCTACCTCTCTGAGACATCCTGCTGTGGGTTTCTAGCACATTTGTCTGTGGCAGCTGTTCCAGTTGTATTATCTGTTTAAAAAGCTATACTGGGAGTTTCAGATGCCATGAACATTAGTGATAAAAATAGCACTTGACATTTGCAATATGGGATACCTTTCGTCTATGGAAAGCAAATCACTTTAATTAAGCCCAACAATACTGCTGAGCAGCAAATAATAAACCCATTGTACAGATGGGGAAACTGAGTCAAAGAGGCCCAAGATCTCACAGCGAGCCAGTGGCAACCTAGAAATCCTGGCTCCAAGTCTTATACACTAACTACTCTTACAAACAGGGATCTCCTTTCTGTTGTGTTTGTATATCACCTAACATAATGGGGCCCTGTGCCATCATCAGGACTCCTAGGAACTGCCCCAATACAAATAAATAACAATAATAATATCACTCCCAAGAAACACATAACCATCCAGTAGACAATGGAGCATAAGGGCTGCAGAGGAAGAATTTTATGCAAGTGTGTGAGAATGTATTTCAACCTGAACTTGTGCAAATCCACCTCTACCCACTGAACCATCTGCAGGATGGAAACCGAGTGATCAAAAACCCAGTAAGGTTTTCATCCTTTGCAGTTTTCATCCTTTATGGGGGGAAAAGAGGATCTGCATGGAGGGAACACCACAGTAAATCAAATATTAGCCATATAATCTCGCATCTTCTTTGCAAGCCTATGCACTAGTCATATCAAAAAATCTCTTATGGTAATTGATGCATTTTACCTGCTGCAGTTTTTAGGGACTTTCTTATAAGGGTAGCAGGAAATTTCTGTTGCTGAAGGTAACATGAAACATTGACATTCATGTCAAGTTTGAGATTGCTGAGGTCTCCCAATAGGAAACAATGGGGTTCATTGATCTTTATGCCCTACTGTTTCCTGAGCTGGTTTTTCGGGTATAACTGATACACTTGGCTATGTGACTACTGGGCAGTTAATGTGCCATTGAAATTGAATTGTTTGATTGCAATTTCTCTTCCAGTTCGGTCTCAGCTCCTAATATTGGATGAGTTATATCTGAATGCACAAGCTCTCCATATCATTAACGCCCTGGGAACACTTCCCAGCACAGTGTTAATGCCAATTAAAAAGCTATCCTAGGCATGCTGACTCCACTTGCTGAAAAAGAAGTAAATTAAAAATCCAACCAAAATCCTATCGGTGGGTACAAGCAAACAGCCCCCTCCAGTCATAAACAGAAGCAAATAGAGTATTATTCATATAGGGACAAGGGAAAATACAATAGTAACTGATAATGCCACAATCTGGCCCTTTAGCTGCAACCTCCTGGAGGACAGGGATCTTTGCTTAGTGTAGCACTCAGCACACAGGCAGCGCTCAATAAACAGCACATTAGCACTGAAGCAGCTGCCCCACATGGATCCTTCCCTTGGGGGAGCCTTAGAATAATAAAATCATAGAAATGTAGGGCTGAAAGGGACATCAAGAGTTCTTCTAGTCCAGCCCCCGCTGTGCTGAGGCAGGACCAAGGATACCTAGACCATCCCCGACAAGTGTTTGGCCAGCCTATTCTTAAAAACCTCCAGTGATGGGGATTCCACAACCTCCTTCGGTAACTTGTTCAGGTGCTTATAGGATCAGTACAGTTAGAAAGTTTTTCCTAATATCCAACCTAAATCTCCCTTACTGCAAACTAAGCCAATTACTTCTTGTCCTATCCTCAGTGGACATGGAAAACAATTGATCACCCTCCTCTTCATAATAATCTTTTACATATTTGAAGATTGTTTTCAGGTCCCCCCTCAGCCTTATCTTCTCTAAACTACACATGCCCAATTCTTTCAACCTTTCCTCATAGGTCAGGTTTTCTAAACCTTTAACATTTTTTGTAGCTCTCCTCTGGTCTCTCCAATTTGTTTACATCTTTCTTAAGGTGTGGAACCCCGAACTGGATACAGTACTCAGCTGAGGTCTCACCAGTGCCAAGAGATGGGAGCAATTACCTCCCGTGTCTGACATATGATACTCTTAATACACCCCAGAATGACGTTTGCTTTTTTCACAGCTGCATCACACTGTTGACTCACATTCAGTCTGAGATCCACTATCATCCCAGATGCTTGTCTTCAGTACTACCGCCTTGCCAGTTATGCCCCATTTTGTAGTTAGCATTTGATGTTTTCTTTCTAAGTGAAGTACTTTGACCGTGTCTTTACTGAATTTCATCTAATTGATTTCAGACCAATTCTCCAATTTTTCAAGGTCATTTGAATTCTAATCCTGTCCTCCAAAGTGCTTGCAACCCCTTCCAGCTTGGTGTCATCCATGGAAATATTGAATAGCACTGGACCTAGGACAGTCCCCTGTGGGACCCCACTAGATATTTCCTTCCTGTTTGACAGTGAACCATTGAAATTACTCTGAGATTTTTTAAACCCATTACACATCTAGACTATCTGTTAAATTAGTAACAGAGGAATGCATTGAAATGGCCTGCAGGTAAATTTGTTTTACTCTGATTTTATTTTCTCATTTTTCTTCAAGGCACATCCAAGTTCTAAGCAAGACTGGAAAGGAACATACCAAAGTACTGCCAGAATAGGTGTTTTCACGCTACTTCCAGCCCACTCAGACAAGGAAATCTCAGACCAAAGAGGCTCAGAGAAGCACTTAAATGGCAGGGTCACCATCTCCTGGCTTCTGGACAGCAATCCCATGTCTCCCCTTATGAGAGCTGCCCAGCATCTTCTTAAGTTTCTGAGCCTAGTTAGTTGCCTATCAGAGAGGCACTTCTAGCTGGGAGTCTGAGACCACCTGAGATCTAAGCCAAAAAAAACCCTCTCCCTCTCTTGCTCCTAACCACCTACCAACCTGCAGCCTCTGCCTGGGGTTTAAGTGATTTGATTATTTTTGAGTGAACCCTTAGCATCAGGGTGAATTTCATCCAGCCTGAAATGGCATGAGAGTCCCATTTTGCTTCATTGTATATTAATGGATTTTCAGTCCTTTTATAGGCTTGGTCTGTGTTGGGATTTTGCCTCGATTCCAGTAGTCACTGGCCAGCCACTGATGTAGCTTCCCCAGAACAAACCCCAAGTGTAGACAAGAAAAGCTGGGATCTACCCGAGTGTCAGGGGTAGTATCCACTGATGCAAATCACAACTTTCCTGACTGCACTGGGGGTTTGCTTTGTGTGGGTACACTGGTGCTGGCCTTCGTTTGCTGGAGTCTGAGGAAATTCCCACTGGCACTGCAGCTTCAGTCTGCTTATAGTGAAACTCAGGGTCACCATGGGCAGGCTCCAGCTGAGCTAATTCCATTGGAAAATGCACGATAAGCTATGTGCTAAATGGTGCATTCCAAGGATTATCATTCCTTCCCCTCTTTTCTGGTTGATGTTGCCACTCTCCCATTGGTGGGAAGAGCTGAAGAAGAAACTCTGATCCCCCATGTCACAGAGCCCAGGAAGGAGTAAAGAAGACTCAGACCATGTCTACACTATGGGGACTGTAGCAGCACAGCTACGGCACCATAGCTATGCAGCCATAATCTCTTAGTGTAGATATGGCCTACAACAACGGAAAGGGTTTTTCCATCACTGTAGGAGCATCGCCTCTCAAGCAGTGGTAGCTAATTCTTCCATTGACCTACCTGCATCTACACTGGGGTTTAAGTTGGCATAGCTACATCGCTCAGGGATATCGATTTTTCACACACCTGAGCAATGTAACTATGTTAACCTAAAATTCATGATGACCTAAAACCTAAGTGTAGACCAGACCTCAGGCTGGTGTTGCTGTAGTCTGCCACCACTGGGAGTGGCCCTTTGTCCTACAGCTGCAGAAACTGAAGAGAATCCATGCCATCACTCCCAAAAGGAAGAGAAGGATCATTTTTGCTACATTGGTCCTTTCTTGTTAGAGTGAAATTCCACTGGCTAGATCTTCACCACCACTGAAATGCAGATGTGTCTGGAGTAGAAGCAACCAGTACATAGCACTCTAAACAAGAGTCGGCTGGAGATACTTTCCCAACCACACCATGACAAACACCTCCTGTTACAAAACATGCCAAAGAAACTTTAGGGTGAGATTTTCCAAAGCATGGTGTTGCCCCATTGATGACAGTGGGAGCAGAACTAGGCCAATGCTGAGCACTTTTTAAAATCTCATTTACTTTAATTCCAACCAGAACAGATAGTGCCTATCTTTTATGGGGCTCATTGAAAAGCTAGTAACTACAGCCAGACAAGAGTAAACACAAAACAGAGTTCCAGTGCTGCATTTGGATGCATTGCTATGCTATTTTTTTAAACCATAAAACCTTTAAAGTAGAGCTGGTTGGGAAATAAAACATCCAAATTTTTCAATTAAAAAAAAAATCACAAAAATATTGTGACAGTAAATATTCAACCATTTCTACTTTAAACATAAAAAGGATAATTATTTGAAGAAAAACCTCATGTGTGTTCTCTTATTTTCATTTCAATGTACAGTTAAGCTGTCATTAAATAATTATTAACAACTCTGTTCTCTTCCCATAAACGTCTGCCTGGGCAGACAAGAATCTCTCTTAATTTCACAAATCATTTATGACCTCACAACACTCATGCTCAGATGCTCTGGGTGAATCAGGTGACCAATAGTGTGGGAGAGAAGAAGAAGGATTTCAAAATGCAGTTTGCATTCAAACAAGTCATTTAAAATAAAGTGAGGTCTATAAAGAGAGAAAGAATAACATTTAAGTGCATCAAAGGCAGAGGTACTAGAACATTTTGGGCATATGTTAATGGACACCATAACAAAATAAATTGTATGCTTTCCCATACCTTTGTAATGATTCAGGCAACAAAGGACAGCAATTTTAGAATTTATTTAAACACATTTACTGTGATACTGACCAACAGGTGTGTCTTCTGAAAGGCTGAGAAGTGCCATGTTCCCATTAGTACTGCTGGCTCCATTATCAAAGAAGTAGGGGGCATAATTTGCCTGAGCTGCAATTAAAACAAAGCAGAACCCAAAGAAAAGCATTTAATAAACTGCAGTAACTCAAGATTTCCTATCCTGCCTCTCTCTGTGTACAAAGAATGATGAGCCCTTTGGGAAATAATGTGAGTTTGTATGTAACATATCCAATTACACTCATGAACTTTTTACCTTTTAAATTATATATCTATGTTAAATTGCTCCCCTCTGGTGTTGTACCAATAATTCACATAAATACTGCACAGCAGCATTTAAAGAATATGAGTGTAGAAAAAAAGAACTAAACAGGATATATTTAAAGAGCCTCAAACATTCAGAAGCTGCGTCTTGCAAAGTAACCTTCACAACCATTCACCATTTCTGTATACAGCTCCCATACACTCTGTGTGTGTATGTCTGACACCTGGCCAATGGCTAAGTAATAACCTAATCAATATTCTAAACATATTTTTAAATTACACCTACTGAATGAGCAATAAGCCATAATTAAACAGTTACTTACTTGCTGCCAGACAATAAAGTTAAAGAAAAAAAAGAAAGCAAATTAGTTGTCATTCTAATCACTCATAGTTAAAAATCAAAATAGCCCATTTGAAACAAAATTGAAAATATGCAAACAGGAGGAGGGGGTAACGTGCAAAGTGATCAATCTCTCAGGAAACAATTCAGGACCACATTATCCCATCAGTAAGGATTACTATAGGATATGCCATGTCCTTCTCTTTGTTTATTAACAAAGAGAAAGCCGTACTCACCCAGGCAAACATGCACCAAATTGAGAAATAAAGATGGGGCGAAATGCCTTACATGCTTCATCCCACTGAAGGAAAGGCTAATTTCTTCTCTGTTTCAAAGGTTTTTGGTTTGTTTGTTTTTTTGTCTGAAGGGACTTGCAAAGTCTCCTTCAGACCTGTGCGGTGGTGAAATGTGCAAGAGGCAGTAACAGATGTTAAGATGTTAAGCGGATGACACGTCTTAATTTCTGAGGAATTTAAAGAAGCTCCTTCCTACCACCTAATTAGACCAATTACTTTGCAAGGAGCTGTGGGACTCATTTCTGATACAAGGTTGGGAGGAATCAACATCACTCTCACAGGGTTGTTTGTTTGCACTGTGTTTAGGTTGCCTAATGAACCACTCTTCACTGCTCGAATATAGAAGCCAGAAGGCAGGTAAAGTTGAATTTTTAAAAATATGTCTTATTCTCTAATTTACTCCTTTGCTTTTCAGAACTAAGAGGGATTTTTATTTATTTTAGATTTTGGCTTCTTTGAGAAACAAGGGGGTAGGAACTCAAAACAAATGCATGGTACATTAAGCATCAATACTTTAATATCAGTACTTTAAAGGAGGCCAGTAGTCAATTACAACAGCAAATATCAGACAGAAGCCAGCGATGGGTTTTTTTATTCATGAGATGGCCTAAAGATTTGGATTTCAGTTAAGTTTTTGATGCATCTTTTATAGCTGGTATACAGTTTATAATTAACATCCTGAAACATTTTAAAAAAGTATTCCAAAGAAAATATTAATGAAATAGGGTTTTTTTTCCTCTTTGTTTTCTGTTTCATACAGTTAAAAGTGTATTTCATGGTACACAAATATATATATATCTATTCAGTAAATTCAGGGGGAAAGAAACCCACACTGGAAAATGCATATAAACAAAACATAAGAGGAACTTGGCAAATGGTAATAATTCCTAAAGGGAGATGTTTAAGCAGCCTTCTAGCTGTCAGCTTGATGCAGAATTCTTTCCCTTTAAGAATGCTCTAATGTATTTTAATGATATTTTTGAATTTACAGAACACACACAAAAAACAACCCCCTCAGAAGTTAGCAAGAAATTAACACAAGTCCTTTTTCTCTTTGTCCAGGATTTTTTTTTTTTAAATAAACCACTCTGCTACTCAGGTGTGATCAAAGTTACTTTTTCTTCTGGCAGACATGAACTATATACATTGGGACTGAATGTGAATTGGAAGTGACGGCGTTGGTGAGATCAGTCCAATTTCCAGTGGACAGGTAGCCACGTCACCATACCCGTTATCACAACTGCACTATCTAGGCACTCTTGCTAGCAGTCTCAGTAAAGGCAGAGAATACCGACTGATCATGGAGAATGAAATAATATCTCTCTTCCTAAAGGTAGTTCCCTCTAAAGCATGCCCTGTGGTCTGGATCCAAAACACAGCATTTACGCACGTGCTTACCTTCACTAGGATTACTCACACACTTCCGTGCTTTGCTGGATTGAAGCCATTGCCGATGTGAGTAGGACTGATCCTTGGTGGGAATAATTTGCACTGTGTTGTCCGTGTCCTAGAGGGCCCAACCATGCAGCAGCTGCAGACTGGGCCCCAGTGGATGTACTCCATTTGTCAGCACTTTTGTGATCATTCCATTCATTTTATTATTATTATTATTATTATTAACTAAACATTTGGAACAAGCTTTCTGTTCTTTCCAGCTGCTTTAGACAGGCCAAACCCCGACTCCTTACTCAGCAAGACTCCTATTGGCTTCAGTGGGACCTTTGCTTGAGTAAGGAGTGCAGGATGTGGTCCCATGAGTGGGTGAAAAGCACATGAATTATTTCTGAAACATATCAGTGCCATGGGTTCGGCCCAGCTTGTCACCTGGAACTTCCAGGCTTGGTTTAATGAACAAAGGGTTAAATTGCTCCCCATGTGTGTTGTTCTTGCAGAAGAAATAGGAAAATCTGCAAGTTGCTACTCAGAGGGCCTGATCCAAAGCCAACTGAAGTAATTGGAAAGACTCCTATAGGATCAGACAGAGTTCCTTCTATATTGTTCTGTGATAGAGGGTAGTAAGTGTTCCCCATCCCACTCAAGGAAATAGCAGGGGATTTGGTCCACAAACACATAGATTTTTGGGGACCAATCAGAAGCTATGGTCACCTCTACAGAGGCCTGAGCTGCTTCACAATCTCCTGACCCTCTCCCTTAAGCTTCTAAGCATCTGGAAGCATGGATCCAGCTGGCAGCTGCTGCTCCTGATACCACCCTCAGGGGGAGTTTCAGAGTGCAGAGGGGAACAGTGAAGAAATGAATGCTGAGAGTCAGCATGACCTTATTCTCTGATTTTCCATGGGGACAATTCCATGGACAAAACAGCTCCCTCTCTGCTCATGGAGCCTGGTCACTGCAAAGCAGCCACTGGGGTATTCTGCAGTGTGGGAAGAAGGGGAGGATGGTGCTGAAGAGGCAGCCTGCCTCTCTTCCTGCTTGAATCCACCATGTTTTCATCCTCTCTGACCACAGATGTAGAGGGGACAATCTGGCCCAATGTACTTTATTTTATGCATTTTCTACAATACTAAGGGCACCACTAATTAGAGCCTGTTATCTATACAGATAGTCACATGCAGATCACCAGCCAGGGAAACAGAAGCCAGAGCAAAGACACAGAACCCAGAAGAGAGACATCTTTGCACCAGATACACACTTTCCTCGAGCATTAAACCCCAACACAGGGTTTCCTGGCCTGCAGGGGGAATCCCATTGGAACACATTGTGTTCCTGTATGGACACTTTTCCTGCAGGACAAGTGAACTGTAAGGCCTCAGCATGGTAAAAAGTACATTAAAATTAGTGGAGTATTATTAGCAAAGGCTCTGTGTAAATCTAGGATGCTGTTAATTTGTATCAGTGATACAAATTATCTATCTTATTAACAATAACAATAATACTAACACAACAGTGACAGTATAGCAACATATACAAAATGGCCTACAAGCAGGAACCATGTGACTCCCAAGAGAGGAGAAGAAAACCAACCTGCCAGTGACAGTGTTGGTTGGCTGAGAAAACTGAGGCATATGTAGCTCAAAAGGAAGAGTAATGGTGCCTGCTCAGGTAGCTAGCACCAAAACACAAAGTGAAAACATAGTCCTCAACAGAGTCAATGGGACTGCTTGTGTGTGTGTGTGTGTGTGGAGCCACACACTTGCATACGTGTTTGCAGGGTCAGGGTCTTGATTTGTTCCCTTCAGTTGTCTTGCTTTTTAGCACTATCCTTGAGGATGGATGGCTCTCACCACACATGCTGTCTGTCCCTTAACTGACCCTCTTCTCTCTCTTAACAGGTCGTGTTCTAAGCTCTTCATCCACTGAGCCCAAATGTGGCCTTCAGGCCTTTAAAGTGTGAGACAAGGATCTCAAGGGAAGGACACAATGGCAGCAAAAAGAAAACAGACAGTGAGTTCTTTCTACAGGGTACTTTACCAGCAAGAGTGGCAGGAGATTTTCCCTGCTGCTAGTGCCTGATTCTGCCCCACTGATATCAGTGGGAGCATGACTATTGATTTCAAGGGAACAGGATCAAACCCTTAGTTTCTAGGGCTGGGATTTTCAAAGAAGCATGGCACCAAATTCCCACTGAATTTCAATGGATTTGTGCCCCTCTCTTAGACTCATTTGGAAACCCCTAGCCAATACCCTTTTTGTGTGTACACCCACCTACCTACACCTGGCAGAGCTGGTTGTCAAATGCGGAATGTTTTGAAATTGATGAAAACCAGAAAAAAAAAGTCAAATATTTTTGCAAACTTTCTCCTCTCCAATATCCAACCATTTCTAATACCTACTATATTTCAGCTAACATTGCCTGAGTGAGCATGTCCCATTCCAGGCCCTGGAAGACAAACAAATAAAGCAGAGGAAACACGTTGTAACATCGGTAACAGCTGCAGTCAACACTCCTGCAGTTGAACGAAAACCTACACGAAGCCCCAGCCCATCTGAGCATAGTAAGTACAAATGAAAACTCTTATCAGGAGAGGTACAGTAATACTCACAAGAGTATCTCTGCAACAGCAATTCCCATAATGGGGTACAGGGAGACTCTTTTGGACAGTAGTTTGTTCACAGAAGGGAGATGCACTAGAGTTCAGCAGGCAATGAACAAGTGCCCAGATTAGTCAACATCACCACAACAGGCACTAATTGTCACCTGAATTGGCAGTCTCAGCACAGAGGCCAAAGGCTGAATGGGCATGGAGATAAAGTATATTTTCAGCATCATAGGTGGTCACTCCATGTCAGAGCACATCACATTAGCCAGATGTTATGGAGAAAAGTCTGCCCATGCTGACTTTGGGTAAATACAAGATTTTGCTTTCCTTGGTTGCCAATCTCGTCCCTTTCACCTGCACTAAATTAACATATACATTTTAAAGAGAGACACAAACAAAAAAAGGGAGTAGAGGGTATCAGCTTTCTGCTCTGCTTCACATGAACTAGGTGTGGCCTTCAGTCTTCTGCAAGTTATTAATGCAGCCTTCACTTGGACAAGGTTTAGACACACACCTGCTCTAACCTCTGTACCTTTTTATGAGTGAAAAGATGTATATTCATATTAAATCATTCAAAATAACTAGCTTGAAACTCCACCTTCTACATAAGCCTTCTCTTTCTGCACTGGATACACATGACAGATCATCTCCTGGTGAAAACTTCCAGAGGAAAACTGCACCTTTTCTTCACTCACTCACTCACTCACTCAGTGTGTGTGTGTGTGTGTGTGTGTGTGTGTGTGTGTGTGTGTAAGTTAATTCAGCAGGTAAGTGTGCTCTGCGTTGTATTTAAAAAATCTCAAGAATGAGTTGAGGCTACACCCTGCATTTCCTGTCTGGGCCATGTGAAGGGGAGAAAAAGCTGTAATGGCCAAGCAGAGGTTCCTGGAGCCATTTGGCCTATGTGAGGCCGAATGGCACAGAGCAGCACAATCAGCAGTGCCAGTAGTTGGGAGGGAGGGGATGGAACCTGACCTTTTCCCACAGAAGCCACCAGGTTTATCAGGCATGCCCCTTCCTAGAGAATGAGAGGATAGCCATTTGGGAGTTCGGGGGAGGATGTGCCTCCCACATCCATGCAGGACAAGGCAGAATTATGCCCTATATGGCTCAGCTTGGGGTATCTGCAAATGCATATCAAATGGCTCTTTGTTTTCAGAGGAATCGTGTTCTGCAGCTCACTAGCAACTCTCACAGAACTGCATGAGTGTGAATTGTTCAAGCTGTTCTTCACATGTCTCATCTGCAGCAGGAAGTGCTAAGGTACAGTAGGTGTGACAAATTTCACTTCAGTGCTTGCATGTAAGCTTCCATCTCATTACATTGCTAGACAATATTGCTCTTGATTTCAGTTGAGCTGATTTAGCATACCCAGGGTTGATCCGGAGTAAAAGCACAAGCCACAAAAACAGCATAAAAAATACTAGTTCAAAAAACCAACCAGCACCCAGTGGATCAATGGAGAGCTTGATCTCTGTGGTGGAGCAATGTCACTCTGTCCCAAGCTTTAAGGCTAGGGAGTAAAATGAGGCTGGTGCAAAACTAGAATAATTTTTCAAGAATGTTTTAGGTGAACATTTTTACAATTTAATTGTGGGTGATTTTGCACCTGCTAAGTTTTGCATTTCTGCAACATTTTGCAAAATCCCCTTCCTCTCTTGAAATATGCAAAAAAATCGATTTTTGGACCAAAAGGAATTTCCAAATGTTGAGGTTTTTGCTCTAAAATGGGACCATTTTTAGGTGAACTTTTTTTTTTAATCTATTCGCAAGGCAAAAATTCTATCCAAAACTTGCATGTTTTTCACAAAAACTTACAGAAACCCTTTAGAGTTAAAGATTTTATAATTTGATGATTATTTTCACTCATCCCTAAGATAAATACAGAGGAGCCAATTCACCCTGTGCTGCTGCTTGAGAGGAAGCAGTTTGTGCCTTCCCTATTCAGCAGCTTTGGGGGTGAGTATGGCTGCAGACACAGGTATAGAGAAGCTAGAAGGGATGCATTAAGTCATGCCACTGCTAAGACACAGAATTGCTTGGGCAAGGGTGTGGCTGGGGACACACCCTCTCTTTCCCTTAGGGATCTTGGATGCACCAGAGACAGAAAAAGAAAAGTTACTTGACTGACAGTGAATTATGACCAAAATTTTCAGAAGTGACTAGAGATTTTGGGTGCCCAACTTAAGACACCTTAAAGGGACCTGATTAAAAACAAACAAAAAACCTCAAAACAAACCTGAGTCCAAAATTCAGGTCTCAACCTTCTCAAGTAGGGCAGCCAAAACTGAGGCACCCAAATTGTTAGCTATTTTGGAAATTCTTGGGGTTTTTTTGCTTTAGACAAAACAGGAAAAAACATGTTTTTGTCATGTACTGAAACTGCTTCAGGAAGGATACAGTTAATTATCTTCATCTCTGGGGTTAACTAATGAAAGGGTTAGTTTCCCTCAGTACATGTGAGTTTCGAAGAGTGGGGGTTTGCTACTTCTGAGTATGCAGAAGGTATTGCTTTTCTTTTTAATTATTTCCTAATTACTCTCTGTTTTGGACCATCTGTGATTTTTTTACTGGCTCAACATATTGCATTTTGATCCATCTCTTCACTAATAAACTGTGTATAGTTTGTAAATAAAGGCAGCAGTACTTTGAAAATTAGTAACTTGAGGTTATGTTTTGGGCTAGTCAAAACCTTCCTGCCTCTTAGGGCTGGTCAAATTTTTCCATCAAAACTGTTTTTTGTTTTTTTAAACAGAAAAATGGGTTTTAAACTAAACAAAGATTTTGATGAAAAGTATCCACTGCCTGTGGATAATTTCACTACTTTATTGAAAAAAAACAAATGCCTGACAACTGAGAAGAGTTTTATATTCATCTGAAAACTAAAATATTTCAATTGAAAATGATACCACTGTACCTCATGGAAGTTGTACTTTGGGGGATTTAAGCTTCCATTCTCTTCTTTGGGCCGGACTCTCTTGCCAGACTACATCTTTCATGATGTACCATGGCCAGGGACTATTATGACACTCTCCCTTCCCTGCACAAATAAAGTGGAGCATTATGGGAGATGTAGTCTGGCTAAAATCCCTGGCCCATAGAAGAGAATGGGAGCATTAGACCTGAACTACAACTCCCATGAAGCATGGAGGTACCATTTTGAACTGAATTTTTTTTTAAACAAATATATATTTAACAGAAACGTCTAAATTTTCCATGAAAAACAAAACTATTTTCTCTAAATTTTTGTTGCGGGAAAAACTTCTTAGTTTCTCCCCAACTCTACCAACTCTAACAGACCAGGCTCCCTGCTTTGGCCCCATGCATTAGGAAGAGTGAGCAGTGCTGTTTGGACTGGCTTGGGAAGAAGAGTGGACTGGTACCTTGTTCAGCTGTCCCACAGTCCCAGCAGGGCTGGAAGGCGATGAGGAATTGGGGCAAATGGGAACAAGGAAGAAAAGCAGAGAAACAAACTTCAAACCTCCTTCCAGCACTGTGCAAACCTCCCTCTGGCTCCGCACACATCCCTACAGCCTCGTTGCACTGAATCTATGTTCAACGGCAGAGCAAAGCTAATCTCTAGATTCCCCTTTGGCTCACGCCCTTTCCCATTCCACCAGCTGGAGAACTGTACCTCTTCCCTACAAGAGGATATCATGGCAATAAATGGTTCATACACACCAAGGGAATGGAGGTGAATGGGATAATAGGAAAGTCCTCTCTAGATACTCTAGATACCCATTAATCTCATTTCATTCACTAGAGGCAGTGCTATTTTGCTGCCGCCACAAGGGGGTGTTGCTACTTCCCCTAACTGCAGACATTAAGTGGGAAAAAATATTGCTGAGGCTGCTTTTTTTATAGTGAGATGGATTCCAACGGCATCCCTCAAAGGTATCTACCACAATTGCAAGAAAAAGGAAAGTACATAACTGACCTGGAGTACTGTGCCCCACACAGTAACTATCCTGCTTGGGAGGAAAAGGCTGCCTATAGCCCAGTGGAGGATCACATATAGGTCCTTCCCTGCCCCCCCTTTTGTTTTAGAATAGTCCCTCCACAAGAGATGAGGTCCCTAGAAATTTGCAATGTGTGTGGATTTGTTTTCCAGGTTATCGTGTATCTTGTATATGTTCCATGGATACAGCATAAAATAGACATGCTAGACATCCTCCCTTATTTAACAGTGACTAGCTAGGAGAACACTCAAGCAGGGCTTAATTTGTGCCAGGGTTTGCCAGCGCTGAGCCCCAGCACCTCTAAGCTTGGCAGTTCATAGCCCTAGCACCTCTCGGCTTGCTGTATAAGTTATGAAAGTAAAAAATTTGCTTGACCCCGGGCACCTCTTTCATTACAAATGAAGCACTGCAGTCAATAGAAACAAACAAAATCCACAGTCCCTCTCCTCCCACCCCACAGAGTTAATTGAACTGCCCTGTGTAGCTATTACCAAGTCTGGTGAGAAGAGACTTTAAACAGGAAAGAATTTGATTTCTACCTGGCAGTAAAATTGTTTATTTGCACTCAGTTAGACCAAGATGAAAGAGCAAAGAAAGGAGCCATATAACATGAAAGATATTACTTCAATTAACCTGAAATAAAACTGTAACCAGCAAAACACTTACAATTAAATCAATCTTCTCATGGCTTTACAGCCAGAGTTTGCAGGAGTAAATATTCACTTTATAACTTAAATATACTCAGTATGAGGCTGAGGTACAACATGAGCACCTACAATCAGTATTTCAGATTGCAAAATAGCTGTGGGTTCCTCTTCTAATGCCTCAAACCTCATGTCATATTTCAGCTGGATCATAATCTGGAAATGCATCATACTTTCCTTCTTTGGGAACATTCTGGATGCAAGTTGCTATACTGGATTGCTGATATAGCATTACCTTAGCACATACTGTGTGCAAATACCCACTATACTACATCAGGAACCAACTAATCCACCTAGGTAACACAGTAAATAAAGCAGAGTGATTGTCAATGAATAGAATTTACACTTGGCTCCTTAGACCTCTCTGCTTGCAGTATCCAAAATGTATTCTGATCATATCAGGGAGCACTGGTATTTCACAAACCATGGTGCAAACAGCTCTTGTGGAGGAAGCCAGAACAGAGATGTCCCTGTTTCCAAAGTAACTAATGAACTTCAAATGGACAAAACAGAGGGAGACTAGAAAACGACAAATGCTTAAGAAAAAAGATGTGGCATTTCTAGAGTTATTTTCATGCAACAATCAAATACACGTTCCAACATACTTGTGAGGCAGGTATAGGTCATGACAGGCACAGAGGGGTTAAATTTCCACTCCTTGGTAATTGTGCCAAACTAGCAGCAATAAAAATTCCAGATCACCTGTCCACAACCTGTTTTTTCTGTATAATCATTCACTCTGGGTAGGGGAGGACATGTTCGGCTTTTTAGCAATTCCCCCCGGACGGGGTTTGACTGCCGAAAAGCCGGACATGTCCGGGAAAAAGAGGACGTATGGTAACCCTACATTTAGGAGCAGGTCCAAGGCCATGCCTGCAAGAATTGCTCTCTTTTATTGTTCTGCCTGCATATCTATTACTTATTATTCTGAGGGAATGGGATGTTGCTATCCAATCAATCAACTAATAAATAAGCATCTAATTCGTTTAACAGAAGTTACTACTGCTAATGTGGATTATAATATCGACAGGCCTGTCAAAGGGACATAATGAAATGATGGAATTATCACCAATAATTCTACTGGCTTTTGCATCATAATATGGGCAACCTTTTGTTGCACCATGCTCAGAACATAGTCATCTGCACTAGTGATGGTCAGAGTCAGCACTCCTGGAAAGGAAATCTTCTTGCTCGTCAGAGAATGTGTTAAAAATAAACATGCTTTCTGCATTGCCACATATAACTAAGTCAGTAATGCATTGCAATGGGGGCACCCAGGTCAGGGACATGGGGTAAAATATACCCTTGTGTGGAGGACTGCCTTAAGGCCTAAGCATATTTATCAGATCTTAAGTGGGATTTAGGTGGTGAATAGCCGGTGTGACGGTTACAGAGCTAGCTGCACATCTGACTCCTCTCTGCTTTCTCTGGGTGCAACGCCGCAGGCATCAGGCCTCATGCCTTCATCTCTCTCAGGGTGGAAGTCCTTGATTCTTCCACTCTTAGATCCGGCTCTGGGCTATAGCATTCTGTGTATCAACTGTGCTTATTCAACAGGTCCACCTAGGTTCTGCACCTGTGGTTCTTCCCTTAAGGAATG